GTCCTCGGGTGAGGATAAATAAATAAATAAATAAATAAATAAAACAGTGCGCCTGGTTTGGCACACCCTGGGGTCAGCTCGAGACGGGTTGGGAAGGCTTGCGCTACCTCTGCAGACAACAGCACCTGCTCCCTGGTGCCTGCCTCACCCTCTTCCTCGCTGACCACGGGACAGCGGACGAGCACTCTGGGGCGTGCCTCTTCGTCTTTAAATGCAGATGTTGGCCCCTCTCAGTATAAGTTCTCCGGATTTGACAGTCAAAATGTAAGAGGCCTGCACACACAGAATTTCCTTACAAAAAGTAAAACACAAGCAGGTGGACATAACCCACCCGCTCTGTGCTGGGTGGTAGGGAGGAGGTGGTGCTTCTGTGGAGCTTGGAGACTGTGTCTTGCTCTGAGCTCTGTCTGCACAGCATCGGAGGTAGCATCCCAGGGTACTAGCTCTTTTGCTTTTCCCAATCCTATTCACTCACTGACGTCAAATCCTATCCAACGACGAAACGCCCTCTGAGACAGCCATGATGTGCAGTCAGTAACCCACGGGTTAATCACGTTCTCTCACCTGCTGCATTCAAAGAGTCAGAACAAGGGGATGTCCTAGGCTTTGGATCCATCTTGTGGGCTCTACAGGACCATTTGTGCTCACTACATGAAAGTGTCATGGTCGAGCAGTGGGACTAGTTTCTCCTGGAATTAGCCCTGTTATTTTATAGTCTTGGCCTATGGGTTGATTGACATCTTTCAGGGTACACTTAGGCCTTTCTGATGCTGGGTTTCACTCCTGGGCCTACAAAATCAAAACCTCCAGGGGACAAAGTCTGGGTGTCTCTATTTGTTAACATTTCCTGAGTGTGCCCTGGCCGGTTTGGCTCAGTGGTTAGAGCATCTGCCTGCAGACCGATGAGTCCCAGGTTCGATTCCGGTCAAAGGCACATACTTCGATTGCGGTTCATTGCCGGCCCTGGTCTGGGTCGTGTGGGAGGCAACCAGTCAATGTGGCTTTATCACATCGATGTTTCTCTCTCTCTTTCTCTCTCTCTCCCTCCCTCCCTCCCACTCTATCTAATGATAAACAGAAAAATATCCTCAGGTGAGGAATTAAAAAAAAACAAAAACATTTCCTGAGTGTAACGTCTAACTAGGGTTGTACCTGCCCCGTGCATACAAAGGTCACCCCTTTATGGAACTGCGCCTCCAGCAGCTGCCCAAGTCCAGGGATCACTCAGACCCAGCCAGCAGAGGAAACACGCCCGTCACTGTGGCAGGACAGTGCTAGGGTTACGCCTGGCTGACCACAGTGGCTCATGTTCAGGAACAGGAGAGCCAGGGTTAAAACACACTTGGAACAGGGATTCCTCAGTCGGAAGCATTCCTTCAAATCCTCACACACAACGACTCAGGGGAGCGGGGACAGAAGCGAGAGGGGAGGCGTCTCCCGAGAACTGGAGAGACGGAGGGCGACGCTGGGCCCTCCGTAGGTGGCCCTCGCGCGTGTGATCCCTCAGGCCCTCCTGACTCAACATTCCATCAGGAGGAACGCACTCCTTTGGCCTAACACGTTGTCTCCTGCTAAAATGGAAATGCCTGTGACTCACATCTGCCTGGGTTCCTCGCGTCTCACCTAAGAACACCGTGCGATGAGGTGTGAGCAAAGGTCTGGACAGCGCGGTGGAAGGGCGGGCGGGCGGCGGCTGACCACCCTGCAGGCCACGGCCGGGGGCAGCGGGCCAGCTCCCGTTGCTGTCACCGAAGAGAAAGCTGCTCCCAACTCAGACGGACCGTCAGTGTTCTACACTTGCCCCTGGCCACCCCCCGAGGACTCTTTGGTTCCCCCTGGCCCATGCTGCTAACTTTTGAATCGAGAAGAAAGCAACAGGGAGGCAGCCCCCCTGCCCCCTGGGAGAGGCCTCGTGGTCTCGGCTGGCCCCAGAGTGAGGGCTCGGAGGTCCAGGCGGAGGATGTCCCTCCGGCTCGCTGTGTGGCCTCCAGCCAGTCTGCAAACAGCTTTGGTTTCCTTGTAAGTCAGACCAAGATAAATAGCTGACTTCCCACCTCTCCGGGGCGTTGTACGGCCTCGGTGCTGCCTCTGCCCTGTGTGTGTCCAAAGACCCGAAGAAGAAAGCTTTTGGAGAAATTTAAAAACTGATTTTTATGATTAGCATCCTCTTTAAGACACGGGCGCTAGTGGGGCATTCGGGGGAGAGGAGAGCATCTGGGGGCGGCGGGAGCACGGCTCCGCGCAGAAGAGCAGTGTTTGTGGTGGAAGAGACACAGAAGGCTCTGGGGTTGAGGTGTGAGCGAGAACAGTCTACAATCGGTACCAGATGCCACCAGAAGCTAACGACCTGACAAACACCGTCCTCGTAAAACAAATTCCGTAAAGAGGAAGCAAATGGAAATCTAAGCTAGTGAAAGAATTTGCAGTGGCCACTCTAAAACCATTTCTCACTTCATAAACAGGTCTGGGCTCGGTGGTTTTTATTTTTTTGGTCTTGGTTTTATTTCATGTCACCCCACCCCCTTCTATGCTCCCCTGTCTCTACCTCCTTCCCCCCAGAGCTGGAAGGTCTTGGCCCCCCTGGTAGTCATAGCAACAGCCGTGAATGGAACCCCGTCCTGGCGGGAGGAGGCTCGTTCCCGGGATGTGTTTTGTGCTGGATCTCAGCGCGGATTCATCCTCCTCGATGACTGGGTGTAATTGAACGGAGCGGCTGAAAACGGCTGTTTCACGTTAATTTCTTGGCGTTAAGCGGCCATGAACCACCACCGTTAATGACTCTGTTGTCCAGTCCTTTCCGCTTAATGCACTGAAGAAATACTAGGCTTGGACATCTGGGCATGTAGCATCTGTGGACTTGGAGCTTTTAAGTGTCCCTAATGAGGTGTTCTGACCTCATCCCGTGAAGGACAGTTAGGTTTCAGACCCCTTATCCCGAGAGGCTGAAGAGAGACCCAGGGACAAAGATGTCTTTGCTGCAGAGCACCCGCAATTATCAGCACTGGGTTTGGGCAATTCCTGCTGACAGGTAATAGCCCCCCTCACCCCCCAACTCATATAGTTCTTCCTCCGTCTGGCTCCATGGAGTGTCTGAGGTACACCACAGCATCGCAGGGACTAATCAGGGCTTACAGAAGTAAAGAAGCATCTTGACACCATTGAACTCCCATCCCTTCATCCTATACCTAAACAGCATAGATAAAGGAAGTGAGAATATCACTGACGTATGACCTCGGTCCCGTGGGCACAAGGTCGGGGGCAGCGACGTTAGCCTATTCAAATCAAATTCATTCATCTCTCCTGGACTGGTACTTTCTAAACCAAGTCTCCGTTATTTCAAGGCAGTATGTGTATAATCAATGACATTTTATTTTTCACTTTTTTTTAAAAAAGTCACTGAACACTATACAATTCAAGGGGAAAATAAAGCAAATTGATGATGATGAAATTCACGGTAGTCGTTTTGGCTAATACTTATCACCACTGCCGACAGCAGCAGGAGCAAGAACAGGTCCTGTTGGTCTCTCCCACTGGACTGCGAGTCCCCCAAGGGTGTGGTACCTATTGTCCCCCCCGCGCTCAGACCCATGTCTTGCCAGCAGTGTGTACTCTGAGTGTTTTGTGATGGATGGATGAATGAGTAGGGTAGAGTGGTCAAATCGCTGTTTGATCGTGATATTTTGTATTTAGATCCCCATCTGCCACTATTAAATTTAACTGGCTTCCCATTTCGACAGCCGTTGACTTGCTTTGCTGTCTCTTTAGGAGACTTAGATACTGATTGGGTTGTGGAACAAAGGATGAGTAAGTCTATGAACTAAAGAACAAACAAAGGCATCTACTCTTAGAATGCAAGGTAGAGTAAAAGAAGTATTAGAAGGGGGTTATTTTTTAGTTTTCCCAGGAAGCTAAAAGGAGGAAGATACCTGGAGGGGCTGTTTGGAGAAGGGAGGCCTTTTAGAAATCTCAGCAAATTGAGCAAAGGTGCAGAAGTGGGAAGACTAAAAGACATGGGTGGCTAATGAAGACAGGCCACTGGGGGCGGGACTTGGCCCTTTGCAGTAGAGGGGTTAACTCTGGAATAACAACAACCCTGTGGGGTGTACCATTATTACCCAAGGGGAGGGAGTAACTCAACCACATTCGCACAGGTAGTATGGTGCAGCCAGGGTCCCAGTTCAGACGACGCCTCTGTGGTTCAGCCACAGAGGGTGCCGATCTCTCTGCTCTGTTGCGTCCTTCGCGATGCTCTGGTCCAGGCTGAATATCCCTGACCCTTGGGAGTTTAACTCTCTCTCCTGCTCCTGCTTGATTGACCCTGGACACCCGGGCGGCAGTCTTCTCTGCTGAGAGGATGTCCTAGAAGCACAGTGTCCGGCACGTGGCACTGATTTAGTATACATGTCCTCTTCCTGTCCCGGGCTCCATTTCTGATCAGCCAGTGCTGATACTCAGCGGTGTGCTCTGCCGTCAGAAACGTTTCCATACCAATCAGTAAATACGTGTTGCCTGTTCAGCATCTCAGGTGCCCAGACCCTTCATGCAGGTGTCCCAGGACCAACTTGTAATCAAACAACGGAAAGGTGAATTCCTGACCACCAGGAGCCCCGTGATTCTCTCCTGGCCTTTGTCCTGGGTCTGTCAGATTGTTTGGGACCCAGCAGGACTTGTTAAATGTTCCGAGGATTACCCTCCGATCTGTTCATCTCCGATGCTGTCCAGAGCTCTTGGCACAGACTCGCCCCGTGTCCCATCTTCACCTCACCCCCTGGAGGAGCCACACACAGTCAGTTCATCATCACGTATTAGCTGATACTGTTGGTTTATGTTATGCTGCACGGTTCCAGATTATATAGATGGAGGCGACGAGTTTAATGTAGGTTTTGGGGGAAAACTGCTCTCTTTGGTTTAGAGGAACTTTCGAGAAGGCACTGCAAAGCCTCTGCTGCTGCCCCTTGGTCTTGGGCCCATTTAAGATGTTTCTCTTTCTGTCACCCCAGCTGTGTCCACGAGCCCCGTGGGGAGCAGAGCAGCTGCGTGCCGTTGCTGCTAGAACACATGGACGTGGTGAACTGCACCTCTGGGGGCCCGGGTCACATGAAGTGCGCTGTCACCTGTCAGAGGGGGTTCGCCCTTCAGGCCAGCCGTGGGCCACGCGTCAGGCCCATGCAGGTGAGTTGGATATCTGTGGTCATCAGGACCGAGCCCCTGGGGAGAGAAGGTCCTGAGGCCCCGCCCCCTGGCCCCGTGAGGAAGGGCAGGTGCTGTGAATCATCTGGAAGGGAAAAGGAGGACTCAAGCCAGGAGGAGCATGGCTTTCTAGCAAGGCAAGGTACCTAAGAGCCTGCTCCTCCCCATACCCAGGTGTCAGTTTCTCCCCAGGGCAGCACGTAGGATGAGATTGCCCCTATTCAGCCTTGTCCACAGTGTACAGGCAGACAGGTGGCAGCCAGCTCGTCTGTGGTTCATTGTCAGGAAAGGAGCCTGCCTCTCTTCCCTCCGTTCCTGAGACGGAGAGTATATCAGCAGTCCAGCTTGGATGGAATTTTCCAAATTTCCACAAGTTGCCCAGCAACCTCTCCAGGGTCTGCAGGTGGTTTGGAGGAAAGAGGCTGGCTTGGGAGACGGACCTGGAGAGAAATTTCGGCCCCACCGTTTATTAGGTGTATAATTTTAGTGAAAAGCAAACAAACAAAAGAAACTAGCCTCTGCAAGTTTTGTTTCCACACGTGTAAAATAATTAGGAAAGAAGTAGTTGGGCCACTGAGTTACTATGACGACCGATTGGAAACCGAATTAAAGCGTCAGGCAGAACGAGAGGCACAGAGCGCTCCGTTGAGCTGCCGTGAGCAAGACGCTGTATTCTCACCGGGAAATGTTTTCCATCTCTGCAGAGAGCTTTCGGCTCTCCACGGAGCAGTTGAGACTTGAAATCAGCCATTAAGACATATCTGAACATGAGACAGAGAAAGGATGCATTAAGGCAGAGATAATGGTGCCCAAGGAGAGGGTGGGAATGTGACGGGCAGCCCGGTACCGATGGCTTGGGGGAAAGGCACTTTGTGTTCACTTGGTGCCGGTTGACTGCTTCGCAAGTTGTGGGTCAGTGGAGAATTTCACTTGCTTAGAGATTGTCAGAATTTAAAGACACGACCACGGTCCCACCTGGTTTAGGTTCTGCATAGAGAGAAACAGTTTTACTGTACCCTTGAGACATCCTTGGTCCGTGATGCTCTGGGTGATCTGATGCCCTCGTCACCTACCTGTTCGTAACCCAGCTTAACTTGCTCTAGAAAAGAGAAAAACTGAACAAGAACAACAAAAGATGTAAGGACTGAATACATCTGTGTGATCGATAAGGAGGGGAGAGAGGAAAAGACAAGCTTTGCAATGCATTAGAATGAAGAGCAGATTCACAAGGAAGGGGAAGTACGTAGCGATGCCGGGTTTGGGAGAGATTCTTCAAGGGACCACTGCGGTCCGAGCCCGGCTGCCAGGGCTGTAGGTGTGCAAGGGGCAGAGTCGGGGCTGGGAGCTCAGTCTCTACCAGGCATCTGGTGGGGTCAGCGCTCCAGCCGACCGCTCCTGCCTCCGAGGCTGGCCCCACTCAGGAAATTAGACAACGCTCGTGATCACAAGACAGTGGGGATATTTGCTTTTTGTTGACACAAGAACTGAAACTAAACAGAAAAATGTGTCTGGCTTCCAACGGGTCCTCCTGGCAAGCCACAGGGAAACATTGGGAAGCAGGAGGAGCCAGTAGCCAGCAGAGGGTGTCGGGGTGACAGGTGCTTTCACTAGTCACTCTACCTTCGGCTTTGGCGACTGTGGTCTCCTGGTGGGGGGGCTGGCTGAGCCCCAGAACGCTCCCCCACTCTCTCTCCGACCTTTGGTAACCCTTTGGCTAGAGTGACCACTGTGTTTTTCCCCAAACAAGCCCCGAGCTCCCAGGTCTCTCTGTCCCTGCTCATTCTGTTTCCCTAACTCCAAACACTTTCTTCTCTTCTCCCCTTTCCCCCATTGCTGCCGGGAAGTCCTGCTCATGCTCCAAAGGCCAGTTCCTGCATCACCTACTCTGTGAACCTCCCCAACACTGTCCCTCCTGCGAGGATGGGCAGCCCCCTCTAGCCCCTCACCACCACGGCCGAATGGAGACGCTGCTGCAGTTTCTGTACCCTTGTGTCTCCTCTCTCCGTGGTCCCATTTCCTAGGCTCTCTCATCGTAGTGTTCGCCTCCTTTGGATAGTATTCTCTCAAATCATCATGGAAGGGGGTAGGATATGACCAATAAAAGTATATCTCTTGCATTTTCCTCTGTCCCCCCTTTCCTCCCTTCCTCTCTCTGTCTCCTTCTTCCCCCTTGAAGTGCTTTCTGAACCACTGGTCTGAGCTGTGATTCGCTTGGCTGGTAGGTTATTAGCTCCGCGAGGGCACCTTGTTTATCCAAACCCGGTACTGGGCCTGGCCCTTCCAGACCCTCCGTCAGGGCCTCTCCGTGCATTTCGTGGGGATGAGCCCTCGGGCTGCCCTGCAGAACTGATGCCCAGGGAAATGGGGGACCCCTCAGAGGGAACCACAGGTTTGGAAGGTGCCTAACATGGACTGATTCTCGACGGTGCTCGGCCACTGTGCCCATCCTCAGTGGAGGTGATATGCTCAGGAAGGGTCCCAGCAGGACACAGGGGACATGCTCAGAGGCGGGCAGTTTGAGAGAGTGTAATGAAGGGCCTACTCGCAAGGGGGCGGCAGGGCATGGGGAAGAAGGGGGTGCCGTCTCCGGGGAGGGGCGGTGAGCCCAGGCCTAGAAGGTTGACTGTAGGGGGCAGTTGGAGGACTTGCAGGAGGAGAGCACAGGGGCTGTGTGGAGAGCGGAGCCAGCCTGCAGCGCCCCCAGGAGGGAGCAGGAGGAATGAGCGCCCTGACTCTGTGTCCTCCCTCCCTCCCTCCCATTCTCCCACCAACGTGTCCTGGTGTGAGGCTTGGGATGCGCAGGGGCCGGTGTCCCTGGGCACAGGGCAGGTGGAGGAGGGTAGAGAGCGGAGCGGGGGAACGTGTGGAGAGCAGCCTGGAGGAGGTGTCCATCCAGCGGGTCTCCTCCTCAAACAGGTGCCTTCCGTTGGCCTCAGTATCGCGTGTGTGAAGACAGGAAGGGTGAAGGGGAGAAAGGCTGAACCATTTTCACCTGGTTTCGATGTTGCACAAATAACCACTGGGAAACTGTTTTGACAAGCCTTTTGATGTGACCTTCACAGAGGAAAATTCTCTGTTTCTAGAAGGAAATTCTGCTCATGTGCTCCTCGGGGCACTGGGACCGGGCAGTGAGCTGTGTGCCCCTTGACTGTGGCATTCCTGACCCGTCGTTGGTGAACTACGCCAACTTCTCCTGCCCAGAGGGAACGGGCTTTCAGAAGAACTGCTCCGTCTCCTGTGTCCCGCCAGCCAAGCTTCGAGGTATGTCTGGCCGAACAGGCTCCGTGTGCAGGGTCCCTTCAGTCCCTCTCTCTTTGGGGAAACTTTGGGGGTCTCCCGTTCACCCCAATACTCTTCCCATTTGCTCTGCTGGACCACCCTCCTCTGATAACACCAGCCGAGTCCCAAAAGGCATCGCCATGCTTCCCGATGAGCTGGAGGGATCCCTGGCTCAGAGTCATTACCAAGAGAAACTAGGGCTTCCTTCTGTTCTTATTTGATTGGATGTCCTCCAGAGTCCCGCCAACCAACAGCTTCCTGATAACATTAAGGATAAAGCTACACCTTAACTCTTCCAGCCACCCTAGGAGTTAGGGGCTCTCAGTTCTGTTTTACAGACGAGAAGGCAGTTACCAGGTTTGCTCCTGATGTGCTGCTGCTCACAGATGAAGAGTAAACCCGCTCTACCTGCCCCCACCCCTCTGCTTACCTCTTCTCAGCCTCCCTGCGCCTAACGATGGCTCGTTAGAAATGCAGCTCCCTGAGCCCCCCGACATGCTGCTTTAGGAGGTCCTGGGGGGCTCGTGGTGCAACCATGCGAAGTCCATGGATTGCAGCTTGGAGAAAGCACACCTGCCGGTAGCACCTGGGGTGGTGTCTAAGCACAGACTCTGCGGCCAAACTGCCTGAGCTCATCCCTGCCTCTGCCTCTCACAGGTTCGGGCAAGTCACCCAAACCCAATGTCCTCCTCCGCAAAGTAGGGGGTAACACGAGATGTGTTTCATACGGTGGTCTGAGGTCTGTGTCTACATGCATTCAGACGTAAGATGCTTAGCACGGGGCGGGCAGGCGCCAAGCGCTATGAAAGGATCATCTGTCACTATCATCACGCTTTCCACGATACTGTCACTGTGGTGTTGGTATCGCGTGTAGTTAGGTGGCCAGGTAAGGCTTCGGTGATTAGCCCTGCTCCCCCCCGTGGCCGTACGTAGTCATCTGACCTCTGTTCCGTGTAACAGGTCACACTGGATGTTCTGTGGGTGAGAAACATGGGCTATTTGCCCTGAGATTTTGGAGAAGATGCTCAGGAAGGAACAGTGGCCTTTCTGAGAAGGCCAGTACGCGGGCACTTCCGGTGCGTTCGCCAAGGTCGTGTTTCCGGACTCTCTGTTCTGAGCTCCCTGTGCTTCTCTTTCCTGGAGTCAGGACTGAGCCCGGGGCTGACCTGCCTGGAGGACGGGCTGTGGTCTCTCCCCGAAGCCTACTGCAAGCTGGAGTGCGACGCTCCCCCCGCCATCCCCAACGCCAGCTCGCTCCTGCCCCGCTGCCTCCAGGGCCACCACGACGTGGGCTCCGCCTGCAGATACGAGTGCAAACCGGGCTACTACGCGGACAGCGCGGGCAGCAGAGTCAGGAGGTGAGGTGCATGGCCTGGTCTTCGCGTGCCCCGCCCCGCCCCCGCCCCTCTTGGTAAACCCCACACCCCTGCTGTGGGAATAGGAGTAAGACCTCTGGGTTGTCCAATTGTTTTGATTTCGTTTGTTTGTGTAATTACGACACCCAGGCTTACCAGGGTGCTTTCTCTAGTTATCCTTTCCCGCAGGGGATCCCAGAGCCTCCCCTAGGTGCTTTTTAAAAGAATCTCTGCCCTAATTATTGTTTTCCTTTACAGTAGGTGTTAGGAGCTTCCCCAGGGTTAGGTGTGGGGACATCCTAGCCAGGACAGCCGGGAGCTTACCAGGAAGGCTCTGGGAGAAACTGCCCCCGCCAGGCTCAGTCTGGACACTTAGTAGCTATAGATGCCCGAAGGCTTTTTCTCTGCCTCAGTGTCTCCTGAGGGCAGTCGTTACAATATCACCTGATAGGGCTGATGTGAGGACTAAAGAGGTTAATATGTATCAAACATGAGATTCAGTACATTTAGTTTCAGAAAATAAGATGAATTAGCTCTTGGTATTGTTATTCTGGGCTCTGCTTTCTTCTCCCCCGGCTTTGTGCGCACACTCCCAGGCCCAGGAGCCCGAGCGCCTCTCTTCTAAGGGCTTCGAAGTCAGCCAGGCTGGGCCCGGGTCCCGGGCACCTCCCTTTCTGTCAGCCGGGTACCCTCGGCCAGGTTACTTACCCCCCGGGTCTCAATCTTCTCTGTCAGTTGAGAATACTGAGCACCTCTTCACAGCGCCGGGTTGAGGACTAAACGAGATCAGCCCAGGGCCCACCCTGTGCCAACAGCTCAATAAATGGTTTCAGAAAAAAGAAACTTTTCCTAAACAAACAAAAGTACTTTTAGAAAAAGAAACTCTTTGTACTCAGTAAACAGTAGCTATTCTTTCCCTACCATAAATTATATCAGTACAGGAGAAAATCAAATTCATTTCTTACCTAGGACTTTATTAGAAGTCTGACCAAAGTAGGTATTTTTTTGTTAAAACTAGCAAAACCCCAGCCATGGCCTTAGCAATGATGCTGGGAGATACAAACGTTGCTTGTGGGCTAGATTTCTCTAATGGGGCAGAACGGTCCTGGAGACGCACCCTCTGGCTCACATGCGCCCTTCTCCAGTCAATACCCAGCCTTCTTAACGCGGGCCGACTGAGGGTGGCTTCACCCCAGACCTCCCACTCCTGAAAGGGCCCAGACTCACACCTGGGAGGGGAGAGGCACCCTCCTCCCCGTCCGCCCATTTTAAGGGAAGAGCCAGGTTGATTCGAACACGGGTAATACTAATGAACGACCCATAGGGGGCAGCACTCTGTCAGTGAGCTCCGGCAGGCATAGTCCATCGTTTTTGACAGCGAAAACCCATGTGCGTGTGATTTTCATAGGACCTAGGTCAATTTGCATAGGCGCCCATTGCCAGACAGCAAGTGCCCTGGTCATCTTCGAGCGACAGCGGCGTTGTAAGGAGCCAAAGGCTGCTTTCTCCCCGTCTCTTCTTGCCTCCGGTTTCACCCCTGCCCCACCCCCCACCCTTCAAGTCTCTGCAGAGCAGTGTGGTGGAGAATAATTGAGTGCGAGAGGAAAGTCTCAGGACCAGGGAGAATGAAGGGTAGTGGGGTTGTTTCTAGCTCTCTGGGCCCAATGAGCCTCCCCCTGGAACTGGGCATCTCCACCGCAGGCAGGGCACACAAGGGCCATTCATGGGCACAGCTTCTCCGGTTGAGAGGCTGGAAGCTTACATCACAGTGTCAGCATGGCTTTGGGCTTAAACATTTACATTCGCCAGCGCCATGTTGAGGAGAGATTAGGCTGTTTACCGCCCTGTGTAAGCTGGTTTAAATCTTGGTTTATACCTGTTTACATAGCAGGCGGCGGGTTGGTAATCAGAAGTTTGCACGTCGGGCATAAATCACTGTCACTCGCCACGTGTGTTTACACAGCGAACTATGTCAGCCTTGTTCCTCGCTTGGTGGAAGGAGCCCAGAGTTGTATAAATGGGGCCCTCAGCTTCTTTCTAGGACATGTAGGCAGGAGGAGAAGAAATTGGGAAGGAGCCGGGGAGATCAGTCCAGGCCGGTGGGCACATGCTGATTTTATGCAGTTCTGTAAGCCCTGTAAGTCCCACCTGGTGGTCAGACTGGCAGCTGGCTGTTTGCACGACCCTGCCCCTGGTCCGAGTGTCCTCGCGTCTCCGCGCTTGCATCCCGGTGTGAGGGGTGGTCATTATTTCTATCCAGCAGTGCTGTTCTGAGGCTGGAAGTAGGTAATGTACTGAAAGCATTTTATAAACTATGAAGTTTAATCCATGTCCTGGGTATTACTTTTTGCTCATTTCTTTTTTTTAAATATGTTTTTAAAAAATTTTTTAGAGAGAGAGGAAGGAATAGACAGCCAGAAACATCAATGTGAGAAACATCCATTGGCCGCCTCCTGCACGCCCCCTACTGGGGATCAAGCCTACAACCTGGGCATGTGCCCTGACCGGAAATCGAACTGGGACCTCTCAGTCCATGGCACATGGGCCGGGCTTGCTCATTTATTTTTAAAAGTAGGAAACAACCACCAAAATATCAGCCAGGTTCATTCCCTTCCTGCTCTTTCTCAGTTCTCTTGAACACTGCTTCAAGAGCAAACAGTGCGAGTGCTGCATCTGACTCCCCTCCCTCCAACCCGTGTAAGCTGTGTCCCCTTCAGCGAGGGACAGCCGATGTCACAGCTCCAGCTGGCTGTCCCCACCTGCACGCTCTGTGCCACTCTCTGGGTTGGGCATGAAGAACACACATGACCAAGGCCCTGGCCTCCAGGTGCACACAGCCTCCGTGCTCCCTCACTCGTGTGTGTGATGTTTCCTAGAAGTGCATCGTGGAAGGTAGGCGTTTCTCCTCACCCTGCATTCCTTGCTCCTCTTCCTGGAAGTTGAGGGTAGTGCCACCCACACCTGGTCTAGTCCCCTAGGACAGGGAATTGCGTGGGCTTAGTCCTGGGTCAAGGACTCTGACCTTGAAGTCATGGGTGGAGTCAGCATCACCCCAAGGCCGTGGAGTCCCCAGAGAAAAATTGAGAAGGAGGGTATAAATAGATGTTGGGGGGCAAAACAAATCAATAAAGCAAAAACAAATGGCCATTGTGTAGGGCGGCTGAGTGATGGTATAGCCGCATCTAAAATATCCCGCTGCCGTTCAAGATGTTTGGAAGAATACGGAACACCTGGGAAAACACCACTAGACAATCAACACTAAGCGGACGAAAGCAAGAAAGTAATTGTTATACACGGCACTGTCCCTATTTTCCATATGAAAAGTATATATTTTTATCCACTTTTTCAATAGCTGGAATGATTATGATAGTAGTAATCATAACCTCAGGTAGAAGGTGTACGGGGAATAGATCTCAGCTCTTTTTCTGCTTGTTTATATTTGCTAAACTTTCTAGACTCTGTAATGAGATAACTGGATCAACAGTTTACACATAAAGTGAGCTCTAAAGAGTGGGTTGTGGCAATTGGTGTGGGAGCAGAGAGTAAAAAGAAAAGAAAACTCTGGCCGGTGTGGCTCAGTGGTTGAGCGTTGACCCATGCACCAAGAGGTCGTCAATTCGATTCCCGGTCAGGGCGCATGCCCAGGTTGTGGGCCCGGTCCCCAGTGCGGGGCATGCAGGAGGCGGCCAGTCGATGTTCTCTCTTGTCGATGTTTCTATCTCTCTCTCCCTCTCACTTCCTCTCTCTCTAAAAAAGAAAACTAAGCAGATCTTTCTAAGCAGACAAACCGAGAAGAGACTGGCACTCCAAGGTGGTGGTAAGAGGGCACATGGCCCTTCTACCCCATGCCTGGGTCCTTCTGCTCTGAGGACAAGCACTGTCCATTTCCGAGCGCTTCTCCTCGTCTGGACACCTCCTCTGTAACTTCCAGCATGTCACCTCCCCAAGGGCACACGTGTGCCCACGGATGTGCAAGCTTGTCTGTACCCCAGGCACGGTCTCCCCTTCTTCTTGTCTAAAATGAATTCCCCCACAGTTGCTCAGCAGCCTGCCACGTCTTGGGAATTCCTCCCAATCCATTCACCTTCCTCCTTCCTGCCCCTGGAACCCTCTCCCTTCCTCTCACCTGGTTACTACGCTTTCGCTGTGCTTTGGCCCCTCCCATGTTAAACTCCAATGACCAGAGCCTTTTCTTGATCCCATGGTGCCTGCAGCTGCCTCTGTCTTCCTTCCTCCCTTTATAGTGAAACTTGCTGAACGAGTTGTCTGGACTCACTGTCTCCACCTGCCGTCTTCTCTGTCCCCGGCGCTGACTCGGGTTTCTCCTCCCCCTCTGCTAGCGCAGGGCCTGCCACGGGCCTGCCTGACGCCAGAGGCAGTGGCTCTTCTCGGACCTCGTGTTCTTCACACGGGGCTCTTGGTTTATGCTGTGGTCAGCCTGAGAGGGGGATGGCCCCTCCCACCCCGAATTTGGTTTGGATGTGAAACTAACAGTACCACACACAGACCAAGCGAGTATGAAAAGGTGTGTTCCTCACATAATGAGGCTTTCTGGGGAGAGAACTAAGAATCCCAGGTTGACCTTCAAATGGCTTGAGAGGTCAGGGGGAGAGATGGCTCGGGGTTTCGTGGTGGTGGAGAGTGGGGCTTGGCCGAGGGTGTTCGCATGGTGTGACCTGTCTGCTGGAGCCAGACGGGGAAACACCCGGGCCTTTTCACAGGCCGGCCACAGTCGGGAGCTGGTGAGCTCGAACCCGGCGGCAGCCCTCCACCAGCAACGGAGCCGGGCTCTTCGTTACAGCGCGATTGGCTGCACCCTCCTCAAACCTTCTTCCTTGGTCCGGTTTCATCTCAGTCCCCGATTTTCCTCCTTCTCTGTCTCTCCTTGATTTCCTTTGCTAGTTGTTCTGACTCTGCCCATTGCTTCAGTGTTGGGGTTTCTCTGAGCTCACTTTCTCTCTTGCTGTACACACTTGTTAGGGGTGAAACTCATTTACACCATG